CGTGCGACCGCACGCCTTTCCTGGGAAAGCCTGATATATATATATATATATATATATATATTTAAACAACAGCAAGCCTAGCCTGGTATAATAGTATAAAAATCAGCATATTTACAAAATTAAATATTGCTAAAAATTTACTTTTTAAAAATGTTTAATTTTTTAGTAGAAAAAATAATTAAGTAAAAAACATAATGTTCAAACAATTTTGAATAACATACAAACACGCAAGTTTTCTGGAATTTTTACTTCTGTATTAAAATAAAATTTTATTGATCCTGAAATGTGTGCATTAAACAAATGTAACTAAGTCTGTTTTCATGTGGTGTCGTTTCAACATACAGAAATAAAATATATTTGAAATTAGTCTTTGTAAGTAATCTTTTTACTATACCCACTAGCAGCAAAAACATATTTATTAAATAGTGTGGCTTTTATATACTGGAATCCCATCAGAAATTTCCATAGTAATGTCAAAGTGTCATTCCATGCCAAGTGGAGCAAATAGACCATCTCAGATTTTATTGAAACTTTTTGACAAATTGTACATATATATGTACAATTTGTAAATATATATGAGAAAAGCATATTTTGAAAATTTTAGATCAATATCTAATATGGTTTTTGAGAAAACGCTATTTAAGTAGTGGGCTATTTTGCATTAAATTTCACTCTACAAGAAAAAAGGTTTTTTTCATCATTTTTAACAGCTAATAACTTTTGAACAAGTTGGTTTTATACTTCAATTATTTTAAGATAGCAAGTATGCTATGGATACTTTTGAAAGAACTAAAAATTTAAATTCTGGCATCTTAATTTTTTTCATGATAGTGATAATATTTTTTATATAAAATTGAAATTTTTTGTGACTTTAAAGAGCTTAATCTTAAATACTAGTTCAAAAATTAATGCAAATCAAATTGTTGATCTGCACATGGTGATCAGCCAGTTGATCTGCACATGGTGATCAGCCTGTTGATCTGCACATGGTGGATAAATATTTAAAATATCAGTTGATTAAAGAGCTGCATTCAAAAGTTATAGGTCATCGAAATGAGTCAGATCTAGATTTTCTTAAAATTGATCTGCGATAACATGAACTGTTACCTAAGATGGCACTTTTTTTGTTCATAAAATTTCTCAAACGCATCAACCAAAGATTGTTAATTAATAAAAACCAAAAAAAAATAATGTGCACTTATTTATAATCCCAAAAGTCATGAGCACTTATTTATAGTCTCTAAAAGTCAGGTAAATTTTTCATAAAAAAATCTGAAGTTAACAAAATAAATAATTGCACTGAATTAAATAATGTTATTTGTAATAAAATAATCATTAAAAAATATCATTACTTATAGCCTTATTATCCCAATAGATAAAAACTTACAACCCTAACTTTATAACAATTTTTTTTTCAAGATCTTGATGCTCTTCTGAAATACTAAGAATATTTCCTAAATACCATAGAGCATCATAAATGCAGTCCACATATGTTCCTGGTTACAGAAACTAGAAGTTTTATTAATAAAAACTCTGCAAGTAGAAAAATACACATTAGTGCAAATACTATGAAACTGAAATTTCTATCAAACTCTTACTTTTATTGAGGTAAGTGACATTGATATAAAACTGTGGTGGTTTCATGTCCCAGGTATTGTAGAAGAAGAATGGTATCTCTCTTCTAAATTGAAGTTTATAATATGTCTTTATATTGAAACTTTGTCAATAAAAATAAATAATATTCCTTTGATGTGTTAATCACACCAGCTGTACATTTTGCTTGATGTGTCAATTAGATCGTTAAGTGACTGTAGACTGGCTCGTGCAACAAGAGGTTTTAATGTTCCATTAACTTTATCACAAGGACTTTTTCCATGCAGTTGCAAAAAAGTGCCACTCTACAATAATGTCAAAATGTTGTTTACAGTAGCATAAGTTGATAATATTTTGTAATTTTCAAATTGTGATGCAGCTCCATCACTAAAATAGATAATGTGTTTAAATGTTTGTAATTGTTTAAGTTTATCAATAATATTATTAATAAAGCAATGAACAGCATCTGTTTCATGTTTCAGATGAACTAATATAACACAAGAAATTTGACTATTAAGTTTTTCATCATTTATAAAATAAACAACAAAGAGGTGCAAAGTTGCCTGGCTATTATTCCAATGAAAACCACTGCATTTTGTATTAGAAAAAGTGAAAACCACTGCATCGTTGAAAACTTTTTCTGCAAAATCAAAAAGAACTATAACTAGTTTTTCTTTTAAATTAGTTTTCAAATGTTGGAAGTAGGTGGCTTGACTTTTTGAAATAAAATAATGCTCTCAAAAATCATCTAACTGTTCATAAACCATTTCAATAAATTCATCTAAAGGTAAAGTCGCTGGTGCTTAAGTACATTGAAAATTTGATTTTTGCCATTGATAAAAATTAACTTCACTAATTTTATTTAAGCCAATTTTCATTATAAAATAACAAAGTGTCAATGTAATCTAACAAAATCTGTTTTCCAGGACATTTATCGCAGTTATGCACCATACAAAATTTCAATAAGCTTTTGTAATCAGCAATACCAGGAATTTTCTGTACAAGGAGCTTTACATTTTGATGGTACTGGTAAACACAAACCACATGCATACCAGAAGTACCATCCACAGGAATGCACTACTTGGGCCTTAACTCATAAAATTTGGAAAATCCAACTTTAAGATAATTACGCTTCTTAACTAAGAAAAAACTCAATATGAAGTTCTTTCATTTTTTTTTTTTTTTTTAATTATTCACCTCCCCAAGGCCCGAGGGGGCCACTACAGTCAAGGAGGCTACTCATTTTTTTTTTTTTTTTTGTAAATCGTGGTACAACCCTCTCTCAACTCTTTAACTCCAAAACAAGAACCTTGACAAGCAAGGAGAAATTAAGTTGAGCTGGAACAATATTGATTGGAACAAGTAGTTTTTGGATGTGTTACTTTATACCATCTACTTTAACTGAAACACTCTTTCTTTCCTGGACAAAGCTTTGAATATTCATTGCATTGATAGAACTGAACAACCCCTGTAATTAAATCTTTGCTAAGTTTTCTACCTGATTTTGTAGAAAGTTTAGATAGTATTCCACTTTTTTTCCCTAATTTTCTGGCTTGTACTACAGATGATATAATGTACTACAGATCTTTTTGAAGTCAAAAAATACCTATGAGTTAAATTTCTTTCAACATTTCTTTTTCTTAGGGTTCATTTTCTTTTGTATTTAATTAAGATCAAATTATTGAAACTTACTTTTCACTTTTTTTGCGTGCTTGTTAAAAGGATTACAACAATATCTTCGATGTTTATTCTCATACCTCAACAAGTAAACTTTCATGATAGTTACAAATAAAATCTATGGGATTTACTTTGCTTCTCCAAGAAAGAAGCTCTTGGTTTAGTCTAAACAGTTCTTGGTAAAATTTACTTTTTTTAGACTTGTTAAACTTGATAAGATAGCACAATTCATTAAACGCTTTACCAATACAGCAAGGAGAAAGCGCAGGCAAACTACTCATTAATTAGTTCTAAAATACAACAATTTATTTGGTTTTATTAGCAATTTTTAGATTGACATACTAGTATTATAAACAATAACTTAACTTTTAAAAATTAGTAATTTTATGTAAGTTTACCTGACTTTTAGAGATCATAAATAAGTGCCCATGACTTTTGGGATTTATAAATAAGTGCCCATTTATTTTTTTGGTTTTTATTAACACTCTTTGATTGATGTGTATGAGAAATTTTATGAAAAAAAAAGTGCCATCTTAGGTAACAGATGCTTTGCATTACAGATCAATTTAAAGAAAATCTAGATCCGACTCATTTCAATAAAAATGATGAAAAAAACTTTTTTTCTTGTAGAGTGAAATTTAATGCAAAAATAGTCCGCTACTTAAATAGCGTTTTCTCAAGAACCATATTAGATATTGATCTAAAATTTTCAAAATATGTTTTTCTCATATATATGTACAAAATCAAAAATTTTTATTAAAATCTGAGATGGTCCATAAAGAACCTCATAAAACTTTTGCTACACTTGGCATGGAGTGATCTTAAAATTTTAATAAAAAGTATATATATTATTTTTAATAAAAAGTATATATATTATATTGTAAATTATCAGGTTCTGGTTAGGTTCTCATTGAAATGTTTATTGAAAGTGGATTTTCAAAGCTCATAAACATACAATTTATTTGCAAAAAGAAACAACTTTTCAGAGAACCTAAGTTACATTATTCTGTTATTTTTGGAGCTAGTTGCAGGTAATAAATAAAATATTTTGTATTAACTTATGTAAAGTTTCAATTTTGAAACTTAGGGAACCAGGAGGTTGTGGTTAACACTTTCTCAATTTAAAATTTATAGTTCTTGCAAATTCTCATCTCATTTGTCACAGAGCTTCACCATCTTCTCTTCTTTGAATCAATTTTATATATATATATATATATATATATATATATATATATATATATATATATATATATTTCTTTTGGAATTCTTTTCTGATGTTAATCATTCCTTATAAAAATGCACAATTTTTTAACAAGCCTTCTGTCTTACCATAAATTCCATTGAAACCTTGTTATAAGTGATTTTTATTTCATCCACTTCTTTACAAGCAGTTGTTAAGCAATATTGATTGTAAAAATCAATATAGTCATAAGAAACTGAAAGAAAATGAAACTAAAAGCACTTTATTTCCTTTTCTTATGACTAAAATAATGTTTAGGAGGAATGATTTGCATTGCAAGATTTTACACGACTGACGTAAAACATTTTATGTTTAAAATAAATAATGTTTATATAACAAGTTATGTTATTTTGATTGTTGAATTTAGCATTTATCACTGATTATTCTATTCCAGGAGTTTTGAGGCTTTTATATATTTTTATTTAATACAAATTAAATTGCTTTAATTTATTACAAACAAAAACTATTACGAAGTCACATTAAAAAGTACCTGATGCCTTTGCAGCTGCATATCGTTTTGGAATACCTAAAACTTCTGGAAAAAGAAACGATAAACTTGCTGAAAATTTTAATGGTTTTATTTTCTCAATTGTTGAAGTTTCCATAACAGGTTTGTTAAAACTATTTTTTGCAATGTACGATGGAATTTTTGACAAATCAAGTCTTTAACCTCACAATTTTAATACACCATTGTGTCAGAAAACATTTTCCAGTTTTAGAAATTGTTTTTAACGTTAAAGGTATCGGCCTATTTTAAGATATTAGGCTGCAACGAAAACGAAATTCACTGTCGCGTGTCGATAAGAAAAAATTAATCGCTTTCTAGGATTAAAGTACTAAAACTCAAACTTTATTTTATCGCACTATTAAGCTAAAATAGCAATGGTATAGCTATGGCTGTCCATAAACGACGTCACGGGGACTCGTAGAAAACCATACGGTCTTGTCGTCGAGTACCGCTAAGAAATGTTCGTGTTAAAATTTAAAAGATAATTACAAGGTTAAAAAATAAAAAAAAGTTAACAAAAGTAAGAAACTTAAAATACTCCATAATAAATACAAGATGCGTTATATCTATTATATATGTAAATTATAGTTGTTAAGGATACACATATACTTTTTATTCATGTTTAAATAAATGGTAAAAATTAAGTTCATGTTTAAATAAATGGTAAAAATAAAGATCACAAAAAATATCAGAAGTATATTGTTAAATCATCGATTGTAAAAATGAGTTCTTTAAGCTTTTGTTTAATATATATATATATATATATATATATATATATATATATATATATATATATATATATATATATATATATATATATATATATATATATATATATATATATATATATATATATATATATATATATATATATATATATATATATATATATATATATTATATATATATATATATATATATATATATATATATATATATATATATATATATATATATATATATATATATATCTGATACAGGCCTACAAAATTATTAACAAAATAGACATTCCCTCATGGAGTGAACCCGATGTCCTTCGTGTTGGGGAGTCAAATAAAATAAAAACTAGAGGATATCATCTAAAAATGACTAGAGAATATGTTCAAAATTGCGAGCAAAAACACCAGTTTTTTTACTAATCGAATAGTGAACCATTGCATTGCCGTCAAAAGTTGTATGCGCTTCATCAGTTAACAGTTTCGAGGCTAAGCTTGATGCAGAAATTTCAAATATATATATATATATATATATATATATATATATATATATATATATATATATATATATATATATATATATATATATATATATATCAAGGCCGTAGATAACTTTTTTTGATGTTTGAGCTAAGCAACTTTGAAACATGAAAAAAATTCCATATTTAAGTATGTTCATATATATAAGGAGTGAGGATGGGAACAATAAAAATCCCAAAACGTCAGCCCCCTCCCCTGCCCCATATAGGAAAGTAATGAGTCAAATTTGTTGATTTTTTTAAATGTTAAACATTATTTATATTCATCGGTGAATTTCAAATTTGATTCAATAATTGTTGATCGGCTTCTATGACCTTATAAAGTTTACAGCCCCCTCTATTTGAGGGGGTATAAACTTTACTACTTTATTTCTTGCTACAAACGCTCCTGGAAGAAGTACATTTAATAGAGTTGAAAAAAAAATGGCACCACTTAGTAAAGAACATGCTGGATTGGTGTTACCACATGACTATTATAGTAGCTATCTGAACGAGAGAGTTATTACAATTGGTGACAATGCAGGGGCCACTGCTGAAATTTGGCCAGGCTTGATTGTTGATAACTTTCCAACAGTGGAAGAGTACATTGAACCCAACAGGGTCTGGGTTACAAGAAAAACTCCTCTTTTCAAGGGATCAGAAATGGTATGATAGTCACATACAAACCATAATGGTATGATTGACATAATGAGTCACATAATGACCATAAGTGCTGTTTGAAACCAAGAAGTTTATATTTCAATGTGATAGTAGATCAATAACTTCAATTTGTTCAACCAAGCGAAGGTTTTAAAATTCCACAATGATAAATAATCTTTCATTTCTGTTCGCAAAAAATGACAACATCCTTCTTTGCTCATCAAGTACGTATCGGTCAATTCCTTACAACTTGTACTCCCATCAATGCTTTTCTTCAGGATACTGGTGTCAACACCCTTCCAGCTTATTCCATAAAGGGACATTCACCATGGGAAAATAGTTTTTGCTAATTTTATAATTTCAGCAACGTTTCATGTTTTTTTTTATAGTTGGTATAAATTTGTTATAAATATTTAAATTTGTTTTTAATTATTAAAATCATTTTAAGGTTCATTTTATTTAATGATTTCATTTAAACTGCAGAATAGCTGCAAGATAATATTTAGCTACTTTATAATAGTAATATAGAAAAGTATAGAAAAGTTTCAATTACTATTACATTTAGTTATAATATTTTATATAATTAAAAATATTTTATCTTCATGATTATAAAATGCAATTTTATAAGTTACTTGTGAATAATTGATAAGGGGCTGTCCATTAATTACGTAAACGATTTTTCTGACAATTTTTACCCTCTTCCCTTTGTCAACAACTTGTCACACTTTCAGAGATCCCCCTATAAAATTACGTCAAAAATTAATTCCCTCCACCCACCTTTTCTTATGTAAAATAAAAGAAATATGAAAAATAATTAAACATTTTTGAATATTAGTAATAGCAATAGTTTACAACTTCAAGAAAAAATGTTTAAAAGTAAAATGTTTATAAAATAAACTTAGTTCAACTTTTAACTTATAAACATTTTTTAAATATATATATTTATCCATTTAAAATTACAAAGGCTTGCGCTAAACAAAAAGTAAATAGGAGTAAAAGTGATTACTACATGCAACACTATTGGTTAAACTTCTTTGAGTGCATGATAGAAGGTAAAATTAGATTCACTTAACTTATCGAAGAACTGCAAGTCGATATTATGTTAATAATAAAAAAATCGTTCCAGTAATGAAATTTAAAAAAACAAAGAGAAACATTTAAACTTTGATGGAGGAGAGCATTCCTTGATGTTTTTCGAAGTTCTTACTATGATAAAGAAATCGTAACTTTTGAAATTTTTGACAAGATCTTTAAGATCTTCATTTACAAAACAAGTTTATATTTTAAATTATTATATTACAATTAATAATTGCAAACTTAATATATATATATATATATATATATATATATATATATATATATATATATATATATATATATATATATATATATATATATATATATATATATATATATATATATATATATATATATATATATATATATATATATACGTAAATGTGCCAATCCTCCTTACTTTAACTTTAGACCTAATCCAATTTCACATTGAAAGCAAACTAATTCTAATAGTCTAGCATAACAAAATAATGCATTTGATAAATTGGGGTTAGTAATCTTTCAAGACTGATGACCTAAAGTTTATAATTTATAAAAAGTTTCCAATTTTTAAAGAGCTACTAACATTTTTTTTTCAATATTATAATAATATTTGTGCATAGAGCTGGAGAATCACATTATAACATTGAAATTTTAGCATCAAATGTATATACCAGGGTTAGCAACCTGCTTGCGAGCAGCAGGTTGCCGATTCTGGTATAAACATTTAAATAATATAATGTAGATTATGTACTTACATAAATCTTTGTTTTTACATCAGGTCGACAAACACTTAAAAAAAAATAATATTGTTACGAGTAAACATCTTGCGTCTGCCCATTTAGTTCTGTATGTGTCAGGCGTTTTCAAAGCACAACACGGTTTAAAAAAAGTAAAATATAGAAAATGTCATTAAAATACTAAAGGTTGGGTGAGTATGTAACACATGGCTACAAACAATACCTAATTTATTTTTTTTTAAGTTTAGTTTAGGGGTCAATAATATAAAATATTTATAACAATCCGTAATAAATTTATAGACTTTTGAAAAATCATAAATGTTCGCTATGTTTAATTTACTAACAAAAATGTGCTGCATCTGGCAACTCTATACTATCGTCTTATGGTACTTGTGCACATTTGCGACACAAGTACCATACGTTATTAACATAATAGAATACTGAAAACATATGTGGAGATAATTTGTTTCCATTTATCGTTTAAAAATTCTCTTTTAACTAATTTAAATCTTCATCAAGTCGATTTTTGAAAATATTGACGGAAGTCGCGTCAATTACTATATGCGGCATGGTATTGCACTGCAACACAACATGGTTCGTAAAGAATTTCTCTCTTGGCATGCAATTAAGTACTCTTTGCTGTGCAAGTCTTTGATTACGAATAACCATAATATACTATAACGACGAAGGACGTTTGCATGGTACGTGAAAATTGATTTCATCGATTTCACGCACGAACTTGAACATCTAAATTAAATCACCTTTTATTCTTCTTTCTTCAAGTGTCGTAAGGTGCGATGCCTAATCTCAGGAATAGTTTTTGTAGCACGGTTTTAACTTTTATCTAGCGCTTTTATGCCTGCTCGTTGGTAAGGTGACTACGCTTGGATAGCGTACTCTAGGTGAGGACGAACATACGTGATGTACACTTCTTTCCACAGTGAAAAACTTGTTTTTTTCAGCCTCTTTAAGGAGTGGTTAGCGTTCACCACAGCTACTAAAACTTAAGCATTACATCTAAAATCATTTGAGATAAGAACTTCAAGATGTCTCACTAAACAACTTCGATTGCAAGTGGCAGGCTGTCTAATCCTTTTATCAATGATATAAACAACTATTTAAATAAAAAATTTGTTACATCTAAATTCAACAATAACGAATCCCTTAATTTTAAATATTTTAGGTTGCCATACATTGGTGATGGTTCTAGAAATATTCAAAACAAAATTAATGAATTAACTAAAAAGTTGTGTAAAAAAGATTTAATTATCAAATTATCGTTTTCTTTTAAAATTAAGCAATACGTCTTTAAGTTATTTTTGTGTTCTCAGCCGAGAACCAAAAGGCTGTATATCCATTTTTTGTGTTTCTGAGAAAATCAACTTATTATGTTTAATTTGTAAAGGTTTTCTGCCAGAATTTCCGACTAATTTTTCAAATATTTTTAAAAGTTGTATCATTCTTGAGACTAGATTTATATCTGTAGGACATACAAACTCTTGGTTCTCGGCTGACGAACTATCAGCGGAAGCGATTTTAAGGTTTACATATATGAATTGCTTTTAACTCGATAAATACTCTTTTAAAATAGTTTTATATCCGTTAAGTTTTATTATAAATTAACGTTTTTTAAAAACTTTATTTCATTTTATTATTTATCGGAAAATATATAATGTTAAATATATATTTTCGAAAAAGTAAATATATAATTTTTTAATCCTGTCAAAAGAAAAAAAGCATTTAATAGTTGAAAAGAGATTTAAGTCAGAAAATTTCTTGATTATGTGGTAGACATTTTTAAAAATTTCTTGATCATGTGATACGCATTTTCGAAAATTTCTTGGTGTAATTGCGACTTGTATATACTGGCTTTTTTTTATATTACAGTCATTTATCTTGACATTAATTACTAGCTTATTTGGTTTTTCTTTATTTTTATTAATATAATTATCTGAAGGGGGTTCAATTTTATGTTATTTTGTATATTAAAAATATTTGTTCAAGCTGTCAACACAAGATCATATTTTAAAAACACACGATCCTAGTTTTGTATAAGTTTTTTTTTTTTTTTTTAGAGTTTCGTCCATCTATCTTTATCTCTCTAATTTAAAAGCTTTAAAAGCTTGAAATATTTCATTACAGCTAATACAAATGACACATTCTTTTCTCTCAAAACTTTATATTATTTATTTATGTAGAGCAAAAAGCGACGTATGCTTAAAATTTATCAACGCAATTAAAATTTAAAAATTCGGCGACCAAGTTGTCAACTAAAAGTTGTAAGTGTTAGGGTTTCGATTTACACACAGTGTTATCTAGTCTTGCAACATTTCCGGAACTCGACATTAAATCTTTGAGCAAAGGTATATCTTTTTCACGACCTAAATACAAAACGAAAAAATTGTTTTTTAGACTTGAAGAAAGATATAGATAAAAGAATCTAGTACGCGAACAGGGAATCCTGAGTACGCAATGCTTAGATTAGTGATAAAAGTGCGAGAAGTGAACGAAAATTAAATAAAACTAAAAATGTATTCCCTGATGCTAGCGCAGAAATTTAGCGGACATCTGACTTCATTTTCCTTGTTTTTTTGTTTTTTTAAAAGAACAAGATTAAAAAAATAATTTTTGAGATTTATTTATTATTTAGTCATTTGACCCTTAATTCGTAAGTAGTATTTCGGTAGAGTATAAATTTGGGGTTTAAAAAGTTTGAAAAGTATTGTAGAGACATGTCTGCATTCTAAATACAAACTCTGGAATCAAAGAACACCATTAAAAAAAAAGGTTTTTTCTAAAATCGAAAAAAAAAAATTTATTTCTATTTTGTTTTAACAGATTTTTAAAATACCTTTGCCAAGCACACCAGTTCTAGCCATTTCTTGTATGAGAGCCATGGGTGCTTTCACATTTTTTTTAAATTCATCTATCGAGCCAATATTTCCACGTGGTTTATATCTACAAACTACAATTGTTATTTCTTTCTTCTTATTTAGAGAAACTCCACAACCCAAATACTTAGTTTCAGTCCAAACAATTTGAGTAAAAGAATAAGCATGATAGTTAATCTTATCGACAAAGTGTGTGTCAAACGAATAATCTTGAATTTTTTTGTACCTAAGGTAATAAAATAGCAAATGTGTAAACAAAACGTTTATTTGTACAAACGTGCTTCAATATAAATCAATTCAATACTGCATAATACCGCATACCAATAGTGAATTGCTTCGTGCAATGCGACTGATACATTGCAGTAGCCATGACACACATATATATTTTCACCATATTTATCTGAAAAAGAATCTGGTGATGGTTTAATTTCACCATTTTCAGCAAGTACTTTTGACCAATACTCAGCTGATTCTGCCAGATCACTATCCCATTTCAACATGGTAACATTATGATAAAGACATCGCAATTGATTATGAGCAAATGGAGCTTCTTCTTAAAAGTTAAAAATCAGAAAGATATTAGTTACTAGTAAAAAAAAAAACATTTAATTTAAAAACATTTAATAAATATTAAATAAATGAAATATGGAGATAATTCTTATTTTTTATATTCATAGATCATCTAAGTCATATTTTTAAAATCCGGAAAATTGTTTGAATAAAATATCCGGGGAAAATCCGGAACTTGTTTTCCCTTATTTTCTTTTTAATTTCGTATTTAGCTAAGTTGTTTTTAATTTTTTTCGACACTTTTCATATTTTTGTATGATTGATGAGTGAAAAAGCTTTAAAAATATATATATTACAAAATTATAAACCTCAACTTGCATGTATTAAAAATGTTTTGGATATTCGGAAAAACTAAAAATTAAAAAAAATATTCGGAATTCCGGAAACATCCGAAAAAAGATAATCCCTGTATATTCAAGTAAAACTATCAAAACAAATAATTTAATATAAAGACTCGGCATAAAATGCAGAATACAAAGCATTCTAAAACTTGATCTTTTCGCATGTAAAAAATTTTTTTTGCAAATTGTAATTGAAAAAAATTAAAGATTACTCGGTGTAGTTAAGGCGATTTACAAATTATTTGAATTCTTTTATTTGAAATTAACATGATTTTATCAGCGTATTAGGCCCATACAAGAGCTTTAGATACTATAATTTTTTTTTGCTTAAGGTTTTTTTATTATTTATAGAAACTTTTCTTTTTTATATATAATTTTCAAACCTATTTACTGCCCCTAATAGTGAATCTAAAGAAAACCATTTTGGAGTCTTTAGATCACATTCGCTCATTGGCCTTAACATGAAATTAGTTAAAATCTTTTCAAAAAGTGCCTTAACCCACTATAGACCCTAGTTCTTATCGGTTCTGACGTATATTAACAATATAGTTGTTAAAATAGAATATTTCTATTAATTTTCACGAAAAATACTAGAATTCCGACTAAGAAAGATTGCCAATAAACGATCAGAACAAATCATATTATTAAAAGACGATGTTCATTTCACCTGAAAAGCGTATTTATTTAAAATATTATTCAAATTTGTACAAGCGATCGTGATTTTAAAAAGATTTTTTAAAAAAAAAGCATCTTTGGTATAGGTTTTTTCGCTAAACATTTCGATAAACATTTATATTTTATAACATGCAAAATTTTTCATTCTAATTTTTTTTCGTTTTTTCATAATTTACAGACTTGATCTTTTTTCGGAAATATGTCGTAGTCAACAAAATATCATACTAACGCTATAACATTTTAAAATTGCCTTAACTACACGGAGTAGGTATTGTGGTTTATCCTCCTTTGGCTAATTGCATACAGACGCTGCATTACCAAGGCCCGCAAAGACGAGTTCAGCTCTTTAGAGAGCATCATAACCCGCTTTGCAGACCAAGAGTAAGTGATTTTAAAAAGAACGAAGGAATTAGAGTGAAAGTTAGAAGTCGAGTTAGAAAAATAGCATAGAGAAAGCGGACAGATTTTGCACTAGATGTTAGAATGTGTAATATTAATTGAAGACCTTGGAATGAAAACCTCAAATGTCCACTTTTATTCAAAATGGATTTATGTTATTTTTTGGTTGCCTATATACAAGTTCATGTAATGACTCTTGTTAAATGTTTCTTTAAAAATTATGTCCTTCAAATTGACTTTCAAAAAAAGGTACTTTTGAAAAACATCGATAGTTTAAATACTCTTCTGAAAAAAAAATCATTTGTGACATTTGAGGTTTTCATTCCGAGGTCTTCAATATCAATATGTTAATTATAACATTATTTAACATTATTTAACGTTATTAAATTTTTTAGATAAAAATTAAAGATTTGATTTTCTCTGTTAAATTCATGTTATTAAAAGTTAATAAACTATTATTTGTAACCGCAACATAGCTATAAACTGAAATCTAACACTCTAACGACCGCAAAACAGCTGCAAACTAGTTTATAAATTGTAATGGTTTTTTAATTAAGTTTTATGACTAGTTCATTAATTTGCTGACTGATTTATTAAATTAAGAAAACTACTTACTCATTACATCTATCTCATCTGCCACGTCAACGTCCAAAAATATTTTTTTTTTCGATTCTATTAAATAATAAAGTTTTTAGTTTTGATTCTACTAACGCTTTTAAATTTAGTTTTAATTCTATAGAGTTTTTAGTATTATTCCTATGAAATTTAAAGCACTATATTATTAATTAAAAAACTAAATTCAAAAACATATAATATAATAATTTTATATACCTTCTTTAGGGGGCTTAACATGTTTAGAATAATCCCCAATGTTTGCACGTGGGTTGTATCTACATACTACATAAGTTAAGCTTGTAAGATAATTGCTACAACTACCACAACCTAGATATTTGACATCATCCCAAACAATTTGAGTGAATGCACCAGCATAAGTATCAACTTGCGCTAAATACCGGTAGTACTTGCCAAATTTGTACCTATATATATGTAGATAATAACGATATAGAATCAGTTTAATTTCATGTCATATAATTTTCCTGATTATGAAATTAGACTGATCCTATTATATCAGTTTTTAAGCAGATAACAGATAATCATGGCAAAGACCAACTCACCTAAGAGATAGAAAACTCTAAAAAAACACCTGTTTAAAGATTTAAGATTAATGAACTCCTTCTACTCGTACCCATAAGCATAGAAAACTGTTTTAAAAGAACATAATGTCAAGTTTTAAATACACGATGCAGCATTACATGCCGCACTCATTAACAAACAAATTTTGTTGGTCTTAGGTAAGTCATTTGTATAAATTGTTTATTAATTATGTGTATAATGTGTATAAGTTGTGTATTTGTTTTTAAGTTGGATGAATGTCAGCTGATGGTATTTTAAAAGCAGAAATAAATAAATGACATTGAGATAAAACAAGTGAATGATTATATATAGCAAGACAAGTGAATGATTAGATATAGCAAGACAAGTGAATGACTAGATATAGAAAGACAAGTGAATGATTAGATATAGCAAGACAAGTGAATGACTAGATATAGAAAGACAAGTGAATGATTAGATATAGCAAGACAAGTGCCTAATATAATGTTAGAATATGAAGTTAGAAGTTTTAGTATATATATGCAGGATAAAAGAAAAAAAGATAAGTGAAAAAAGAATGTATTTAACATTGTTCTTGATAATGTATTGAGAAATGTTAAAGAGGTTTATTGTCTGTAAAAATGTAAACAATGATATTAATGCAGACGCAGATGGTTTTGAGGGAGTACATGGCAGAAAGAGATTTAGTCTAAGAAATGTTAAAAAAGAAATGTTTTTAGTAATTTCAGACGCCAAAAGATTGACAATCTGCAATATATGTTTTAAAAAAAAGATCAGAAAGTAACTTATGAGTCAGTTAAGCATTTTTTTGCTGGCATCAGAGACTGCAGTATGCTTTTAATTATTATCTTGTTGAAATATCCGTCCTTGTGGCATTTATCTTTAGCATAAAAAAGCATTTTATCATTGATGATCTCCTTAAGCACATGCTGATCCATAATTTCTTTAATACAAAGAATAGGTTCAATACAATTACGGCTGAAGCAACCCAAAACCATAATTTTTACGCCACCATGGTTAACAGCTTGTTGTTGTACTTATGATCGAGTCTCTTGCCTGTAGGATGTTGAACATATTTAATTCCATTTAATCCAAATAGCACGAACTTAGACTCATCACTTCAAAAAACCTTTGCACACTAATTTGATTTCCAATCAATAGATGTTTTTTGTAAACTTAACTCAAGCTTTTAACAGTTCTATACAGAAACAAGTGGTTTTTCCACTGGTCTTCTGCCAAGTTTGGTGGTCGACACAGAGCATTTAATTCTTTTAACATTCTTACTAGCAATTTTTCCCTTTTTTTATTAATATTTTTGGGCTGACATTTTAACTTCTTGTATTTGGTTGTTCCTTGAGGTTCATATTGTTAAACAAGTTATTCTACAGCAGTCATTAAATTAATTTATAATTTAACAATAAGACATTTTTTATTCAACTTTTGGCCTAATTTTAAGATAAATTTTTTATAGGAGAACTATTTTCTTTTCCTTTTCCTATTTTGAATTAAGAAAGAATTATATAATTAAGATTAAACTTGTATAAAAAAATAATTAAAATATTGCACAAAACCTAAATAAATTATTACCTGTATTAATAAAACTACAAATATCCTAAAACTTTTGAGCTGCATAAACTTAGTCTATTTTTACAACATGTGATTTTATAGTCACAGCACTTGCTACCTAAAGTTTTCTTAATAATTGGCCTAAATTAAGTCTTTGGTATTAAAAATGTTTGCATAGGCCTTAAAATTCTTATTCTTGACCTTGATCTTAAAACTCTTGGTCTTGACCTTGTCCTTGTAACTTTCGACTTTGGTCTTGTAACATGCCTTGTAACATGTGGCATTGGTCTTGGCCTTGGCTTTGCTATTTTTGGCCTTGTTAACAACTGTGGTTTTAAAACACAAGTGGACTTAATCTTAATCAAAAAACATAAAAAATGGGTAAGTTACATAGGAGTTATTACATGATTGAAGGTAAAGACAAATACAAAAATTATGAACATAAAATTGGTGGAAAATCTGAAAAGAGGTTTTTGTAAAAAATTGTAAAATAAAGAGTTTAATTAGAATAAAGGTCTGCAGTGAAAATAATATAATAATAGTAATAAATAAATAATAACAATAAATAAAATCTGCAGTGAATAAGGTCAGCAGAACTGATAACCAGTAGTAAGGCAAAAGCTACTCAAAGTACTCAGTTGGCTGAAATGTTAAAGGCTTTAGAAAAAAATGTTAAAGGCTTTTAGAAATGTTAAAGGCTTTAGAAAAAAATGTTAAAGGCTTTTAGAAATGTTAAAGGCTTTAGAAAAAAATGTTAAAGGCTTTTAGAAATGTTAAAGGCTTTAGAAAAAAATGTTAAAGGCTTTTAGAAATGTTAAAGGCTTTTAGAAATGTTAAAGGCTTTTAGAAATGTTAAAGGCTTTTAGAAATGTTAAAGGCTTTTAGGGGATGTGGGTACTCAGATTTTTACGATACAATAGTACATGAAGCAAAATTTCAAATATATATATTTAAAAAAGAGTTCGATGTTAATATATATAATAAATAACACAGATAATTGTAGTTTAAAAGAGTTAAAAAGTTTGTTAAAAAATTGTAGTTAAAAAGAGTTCGATGTTAATATATATAATAAATAACACAGAGAATTGCAAAGAATTAATACAAGACAAAAGTGATTAGGGGTAAAACCAATTAAGACAAGTTAGGGGTAGACCCTATAAGAATTGTCAAGAATAAGCTGAAGTATAAAAATACTGAAAAGTGGTCACGAGTCATGACCATAAAAAAATGGTCACGAGTCATGACCACAAAAAAAGGTCACGAGTATGAGTTGAACAATAGGGTGACAATTGTTTTACACTTTTTTAACTTTTTTCAAAAAATGCAAATACACTGTGTAAATATCTGTTCTCCATCTATATACTAGCTTTTATTGAAATTTTTAGCTTATTAGGATCATTGGAACAGGTAGATGTAGTTTTTTAATAACTTGAATATTCATTGTTTTTTGCCAACATACTGCAAATGTATGTAAAAAAGCACATTTTAGTTTGCATAATTACTGTTTTATATTATTAGTATTGTTAACTTCAATCTGAGATAATTAGCAAAAAAGTTTCACAAACAACGCATAACAATATCTATTTCAAATTAACAAAATCATTCTGATAAACATTCTTTAAAATCTGTTTTTGATTTTTTTTGCACAACTAGCAAAACATTTTTGTCTCTTTAGTCTCTCCTCAGAGTGTGAAAAGTTCACAATCTTTTGTATAACTTCAATGTTTCTTTCAGAACAATCATTTGTGGTTTTTTAATAAAAATAAAAAATTTCTTAAACGAGGGTAATTCTGGCATGCTTCCAACCAAATCATTTTTTCCTTTACTAAGTACAAAACAACAAAAAGAAACCAGCTTTCACAAGCAACAAGTTCACAAACAAGGCCTTCAAAATGTCAGACTTTATTTGAATTTAAAGTTCAGAACCAGCAAGAGTCATGACTACTGCTTTAAGATAAAGATACCTATAGTGAGATTTAAACTATTTAAAAGTGAAGTTTCTACACCAATATCCCATTCCTCCCTTTTGATTTTTGCTACTTTGAATGAATTGAAATCATTTAATATTGAATGTTCAGCAAGATTGGATTTTAAAAAACCAGGAACATAAAATTTAACAATCATTAGACAAACTTAAACTGCTGGTTTGGTGATTTAAATAGTTATAACTGGCAATGTCAACTTTAAGGCATTTTAAGGTTGATGAAGTTTTTTAGCTTGGCAGACTGAATTTTAAGATAAGTATTCAACAAGATGCAGGGAAAAATCTCAATTCAACAAATTTAATATATACCTTCGTCTCCAGTACGTCTGATGAATTCCAAATCCAATTATGAGAGTATTCTCATCAAACTTTTTAAAACTAGAAAAGGCACTACAAGTAGATAAAATGGAACCACAAGTAGATAAAATGGAACCACAAGTAAAAAAATGGAACCACAAGGCACTACAAGAAGAAAAATAGGACAAAATTTTCTCATTACTTCTTAAAGTTGGAGTAAAGGGCCAACAGCAAATACTTGGTATGAAACTTTAAAATATTCTGATAAATTTTGAATTACTAAAGCTGGATCAGATGCTTTACCTGTGTCACTTGAAACAATTCTTGAGAGAAGATCGTCCTTGTGTTGAAGTACAGGACTAGTAACAGACACAACAATTCTATCTCTTGTAACTGTTAGTTGGATTTCCTTAAACAAATGCGTAACTAGCTTGCCATCAAAGAGAAGGACAAAATTTTTTCCCTTTATTTCTTTGATATAACTTCTGTCTAATTTTATTTTTGTGATTTTGAATAGCCTCAAATCTGACTTAAATCTCTTTTTAACATTTTTTCAACACAATTTAACTTTTTTTATATTTACTCCAGGTAGTTCATGATACTGGCTATAAACATTGTTTGATCTTGGAAGCTTAAACAGGTCCTTACACTGAGAGAAGTTGTAGCTGCAACTAAGCTACCTTGATTAACTTCTTTATTGACAAGAATTGAACCGATCGAAGCATGAGTGGTACATTGTTAATTTCCTTCTTTTTTTTAGCGTTGTTTGATGTTTTATGTTGATACTCATCCTCATCAGAATTATAATTAGTAATATCTATCATCAATTACAGATTTGATAGATCTACAATAATATTAACAAAAAATGAAAATGAGAAAGTATAGTTACAGTTTATTCTATAAAGTAATATACAATACGCATGTAAAATATGCAATCTAGATTTTTCATGATAAAAATTACCTGATTCAGATAACTTTATCTTGTTTGAATAATCAATCAGCATTTTTAATTGAAGGTTCTTCTAAATCTAAGTAATCGTAGTTCTCCTATATTGATATTGGGCATTTTCATTGACCTCTATTGACATTTTTTTCTTATAATCTGTATACATACGGTATATCTCTTATCTACGTTCAATCTTTGCTATAAGTTCTTTATCTAAATGCTCAATTATAAAATGTTTTTTAGCATTTTTCTGATCTTCTGAAAATGCTAAATCTTCCTATTTACTCTCTATTTCTTGGCATATCTTGACTATGATGGGTTTTGCAAAAAGAACACCCTATTGAACAAACTTTAATACTTCTACAATTTGTAAGCAATCGCTTCACAAGAGATGTAGTGGTACTCATAATATTGTTGGTTTCAACAATAAATTATTCAACAAAATTATGAGTAAAGTACTCATAATATTGTTGGTTTTAAGTGTAAAAAATGTAATTTCATTGAATAAGTCAATAAAGAGATTAATATAAATAGTGGTGGAACAATAGTCTGTTGGTAATCTTGACAATAGTCTCAGACAATAGTGTTGGAGTGTTGTTATCGTAAAGTGGAGTGAAGTTATTTTAAAGAAAACTAGGCATTAAGAGTATGAATAAGACACAAGTTCAGAGAACTATCTTTTTTACTAATAGCAAGTGGTATATCGTTAAAGGTTAAAGGAAAGTTATAGACCAACATGTCCAGATTATTATAATGTATGGCAGTGAAACATGAGCGACGAACGTTAATAATGTCTAGTGTATTGAAAAATCAGAAAAATAAAACTATTAGTTAAATGTGACTCCAACAGAATAAAAAGAAGCAACAATTTTAAAAAGAGATTGAGAATAGTGAATGTATCTGTCAGGGTGCATTGCAGAATATTTTGACATGTAGAGTGTAAAGATGCAGATAATTGGGTACAGCATGAGAGGATTGGACATGAGAGGTAGCAATTTCAAGAAAAAGATTCAAAAGTACAAAAAAAAGAGTGCATTACAAATGATATAAAAAAACTTCGATATCAAATGATATAAAAAAGCTAAAAAAAGGAAAGAACATATTCAAGATTATATATATCAGAAAAACAGCCAAAAAACTGTGCAAAACTTGCCCACAAAAAAAAAAAGAATAAAGCTTGTCAAATATTTTTTTATTCCAAATAACTTTAAATTAATCAATTTAAAAAAAGTAAAAAATAAATACAAATATAAATTTGTAAATAAATAAACAAAATAAAAAATTACCAAAACTCAACTGCTTTGACAGGTTCATATATATCAGTGGATAAAGCATATCTATATATATTTTCACTGTAAAAACTAGATTCTGGTGAAAACTGGAGTTTGTTTTGATTAGCTATATAATAAGCCCAATCCTCAGCATTAGCAGCAAGATTTTCATTCCATTTCAAATCTCCCACAAAATGATTTTTTCTGTAGTTATTATGTTCTTCCAAAATTGCTAAAAAAAAGTTTATTTAGGGAATCTTAAGAAAAAATCTTCAAAAAACAACTAATTCTAAATATTATAGTCTTTTTGATAGTGATGTGGCTAAGGGCGATTAAGGCATATAACAGGGTTTAACATAATTTATAAAGATAATACCCTAATATTAGGTACGCAATTTGTATATATAAGGTATGCCTATGCATCAGTTTGATTTGGCTTATTATCCAATGCTGATGCATTGGCAAATGCTGAATAATCAACCGATGCCATCAGCCGATTAATCGACCAATAGTTTAGCCAATTAATTGGTTGCTGGTAATTAATAGCATAGGTTAATAGGTCGAATTACTTCTGATAAATAGGTACATATTGAATATGTAATTTAAACCTTTAATGTTATAATAATACCCTTAAATAAATACATTAAACCTATTATTAGCCTTAATCGGCCTTAGCCAATGGCACATCACTACTTTTGGATCAACTAGTTGAAAAAAATTTAAAACCAGGAGATAGGAATGAAAACCAGGGTTATGAGAAAAAAAAATTTAAAATCAGGGTTAGGAGTGAAAACTTTACCTGAAGACAACACATCTGTTCATAATGTAACAATGGCTTAAAGTGAGGAATTAAAGTACAAATTGCTTAACCACCCACAGTTTGGTCAAACTTGGTATCCAGTAACTAATATATTTTTCCAATATTGAAGGTTTACATCAAACCATTGCAAACATAGATGGCTATATTGCAGACAAAATGAATTTTATAATATTGAAATAGAAATATTAAGTTGATGAGAGCAAGTCAAGGAAGATAAAGCTTTAAAAAAATTGTTTTTTGTTACTATTTTAGAATATAATCTGGCCCACTTTTTTTTATTTATTTTTTATTGCATTTTTATCATTGTAATATTATAGTATTATATATTTCTATGAAATATTTAATATATTAATTTTATATGTTTTAACTTTATTATTATTATACATTTATAACTAATTGTATGGTTATTTGCAGTCAGTTTTCATTAAAATGTTACAAAGAGCAATCACAAATTTTTAAAACAGTATAGGCAATAGACTATCAAAAGGGCTTTAGGTAGGAAAAAAATGGAGCAATTATCTTTTTATTTCGCCGGTTTAATGAGGTAATGAGAGATTTCAAAATGAGGTAGAGGGACAATTTTTACTGTTTTTTAAATGAAATTTTTTTTAATTTTTTGTATTTTAAAGTCATAAGGATACACAATAAAGAGAAAATTAAAACCTGACTTGCCTACTGCTTTATTCTTTGCTTTTTTATGTAACAGGCTTATAAATAACAAAAATTAGAGTTATAGTTTTATTCAGTCTTCAGCTCCCACTAGGGAGTAGTGTTGGGAGTAGGGAAGACTGAATAAAATGCCTTAGATAATTGCTCACTGTGATGACCAAGCCCAGTGTAAATTTTGATAAACTCTTTGATGTAGTGGAAAATAATGTGAATTTTTGGAGTCAATGTGACTGGAAGTGTCATGTAACATTCTTGAAATGTAAAAATCTGGGACAGATTGTTTCAGAAGCAAGAATGAACAAAAACTTTCAATACATTTGAAAGTCTTGACGAAGCTCATTGCAGGAGAAAATTATTGTGTGGTCACAAGCTCACTTAAGAGATATGTATTGTTGAAAAGCTTCTTCCAGTCATTTCCAGGTAACTTTCCACTGTCGTAGGTAATAATGTTTAAATGCAACTTAGACACTAGAATCCAGAATTGTGGATCCAGTAAGAGTTGTTGTCATTTGGCCTGTGTGTTGTGTTGACTGTGTGATCTCCTCGTGTCAACAATGCTCAAGCTGAGCTTCAAGAAGTTTTCACCACCAACAATCCCAATTTTGATGATACTGCTTGAAATTTGACCCTTTTGTGCAGTAGTGAGGAAACCCCTTTTTTAGCATTGCCAGGCAGAGATCATAGATTTTTACATGAGAGCTTTGTAGACTGCTGTATAGTGCATATTATTGTGATGTGCCAACTTAAAAAATAAAGCATGAACTGTCAGTGGGCTATCTTGGGGGAATTGATGCTTTGAAAGCTGTACATTCTGGCTAGCTCAACACTGATTGGACCACTGTCTAGTTTTTGCAAGCTACAAGTTTTTGAAAAGATGGGAATTTTCATTATAATGGAGCAGAAAAACTATTCAATACATTGAATTTGCCCTGAAAAACAAGAGTTTGTAACCTTCTAGAAGAGCTTAAACATATTCTAGTTACTTGATTTAGATTAAATCTAGCCTACTAATAAGAATCCATTATTTCTAGTTTAAAATATTATGTAGAAGCTTTTAAAATTCTTCCAAAAAGATAATCAAATGTTTTTATCTATTCACAAATTGGACAATACATATTGTAATAAAATTATAATGTATTGGGCTTTTAGGACATTTAAAATTGATTGATTTTTGAAAAAAAAGTCATTCAAAAGAATTTTGAGTAGTGGCAAACTTTAAATGGCTTATCGTTTTGCTAAATTTTGTGAACCAATTAAGGAATGTATTACTTACCAAGGAATGTATTACTAACCAAGTGAGGAATGTATGAAATTCTGCTTTTCTTGTTGTGGAAATTTTGTTCCCCCAAAAAAATTACTTCAATTTGGGAACTCGTTAATTTCAAGGAACTTCATAACTACTTAAAGTATATTCCAAAATACCTGTTTAAAAAGTCTTAAAATGTAATTATAATCAGTTAAAAAACTTGGTTGCCTTATTTTTGTATCCTTATGATTTTATTAAGCAAAAAATACAAAAGCAGTAAAAATGGTTCTTCTACCTGCTTCACTTTGAAGCCTAGTAAATCAGCCAAATAAAAATATAATTACTCTATTTTTATACTAAAAACTTTTTGAAAACTCAATGGCTTTATACTGTTTTAAAAGTTGTAATGCTCTTTGTAATATTTTGATGGAAACAGATAAATATGGTGTATTAAATTTTGCTTTCTAGTTGGTATGTTTGCGCATCAAATAGGAAAAAAAAAATTTGAAAAATAAAATTTTATCATTAAACCGATCATAGATAGGTATTGACATACCGTTTTATTCAACTGGAATATTTTTTATTTTGAAAATGTTGCAGAGACTGTCTAACTTCAAACTCAATTTTCATTCTCGGACAGTGTAACTAGATTTTAATTTTTTTGCCAAATAGAATTTTAGTGTATTATGTTTACAGGACATGTCATTTTTTTGGTCCTTAAGAGCTAGCTCCTTTGAGGGCTAGCCCTAAAATTGACATACTGTAAATTAATTTAATATTTCCTAAAAGGTAACTAAAATCAATTAAATGGTGTAATTAACTGTTTATTTAAATACTACAAAAAAAATTTTCATTAGTTTTTTTTTAAACTTAATAATGAAAAAGAGAATAATATTTGTAGCATATATAATGTGCATGGCAGACATTTTCTTTTAACAATAACTTTCACATTTACACATGCTGCATGCACAAAAATAATCTATCTGGTTATTTACAAACTACTTTTCTGATACTAAAAATAAATATCCCAACTTAAAAAAAAAAGGAAAAAAAAAGAAAAAGAAATGGCTGAAATGAAATGGCTGCAAAAAAAAACAAAAAGATCAAGTTTAGCTCATCAATAAATAACTTTTTAAAGATTGATCACAAAGTTTTTAAGAAGAAATAAAATTATTTTTACTTTAAATTTCTGCATTATATTATTTTTCAATAAAAAAGATCTGTAAATTGATAAAATTTATTAGTACAATTAATAACGCAGATAGGTGTAGTTTCAACTACAGACATTTTGCCCAAAAATATAATGAAAACTAGATAGGGAAAATGATGTTTTCCATGTGTGACAAAATGTGAAAAAAAATGCAAATAAAATTAACTTTTAAAATAACAAGCTACAGCCCAATGATGAAGCCAGCACTTTTTAACGCACTCACAATAAATTACAATTGTAGACAAATGTGTTATTGCAGTCTGAGCATAAAACATCTGATCATAAAACATGGCACACCAACTTCTTTTGTAATTAACAATAAACATTAAAATGTTACATAAAGCAAACTAACTTCTTTTGTTATTTACAAAAAGCACACTAACTTCTCTTATTATTGGGAAGATAGAGATGCAAAAGTTATTTAAAAAATATATCTAGATGAAATATATTTTTACATAAAGATTAACAAAATATTAAATAGGGGAAAAAAAATTATTTTAATTTTTTTAACATTTTAAAAATTACACTTGTTTTTAACTTAAGTTGTTCTTAATTTAAAATAGTTTTAAATAGATAACTTGGAAACAATAAAAATTATTTAGTTACCATACTGAGTTCCTTCTTTTATAAGATTATTGCATTTACTTTTTTCAAAACTATGTTTTGTTATCTGCAAAAAGGAAAATAAAGAAAAATAAATAATAACATAAATTATAATCTGGTAAGAGAAAATTATTTACATACATTACGAAACTTGATAACTGTAAGTGGTGCTTTAACATGTTTAGAGTAGTCTCCAATGTTTGCACGTGGACGATATCTACAAACAACAAATACTCTATCCTTGCTATTATCACGACAGCTACCACATCCCAAAAACTTAACATCGTCCCAAATTATTTGAGTAAAAGCACCAGAATTAATGCTAGATTTAGAAGAATAATCGTAGCTATCACCAGTGTCATACCTGTAATTCGTAATAAACTTTATGCTTAACCATGCAAAAAACAAATATACTTTTTTAATTTTCGGTACTAATCTACATTATAAACTAAAAAATCAATGACAAAAAAATTTACAAATAATCAACTTACCAGTGATCAACAGCATTTGATAAACTAAATTGTTCAATTGAACTTTTAAAAACATTTTCACTGTAAGCAAGTGATTGCAAAGAAAACATTAAGTAACCATTTTTTTTCAAATTATAAGCCCACTCTTGAGCACTTTCTGCAAGTTTATCATCCCATTCAACATCGGGTACACCATGATGTTGTCTGTATTGATTATGTGATGATAGCAACACTAAAACATAAAAGTATTGTATTTATATGAACTTGCACTTTGTATAAATTATGTAATAGATTGAAAGGTGGGTACCATTAACATGTATTGAATGCTTTTAATTATGACTGGTTGACAATAAATTTAACTTATTTTAACCAAAGCTACAGCCATAAATTAAATGAAATAGCTAACTCACAGGCCTACAAAAAGCTTTTGTCTTGTCAAGATTATTATAACTTTTTGTTGGTATTCAAGGAAATTTGCTGAATCAGACAATGACTTTTATTTTTGACATTAGTTTTAACTTTCATTCTAGTTTTTTTAGTGATAAAATGGAATAACAACCAATACATTAAAAACAACTAACGTCAACATATTTTTATGTAATAAACATGTAGAAAATAAAAATCAACTTTAAAAAAAAAAAAAAAAAAAATTATGTAGTAGGATAAACATGTAGTAAATGAAAATCCAAGATTAAAAAAAGGCTGTAATAAAATTTAAAATTTATAAGAACTTTCTTTTGTGCAGTTTGCTTCAATGTTGAAAATCAGATGCATGGTGTTTCAAATTCCAACAGAAGTTAGACATCCTTTTGGATACACAACTTCTCTGTACCATTCCTGGACTTTCTTTGTACCATTCAAGGACATCATTACATGTGAAATGATGTCCTGGAAATATTTTTGTATCTTTTGTTCATATACAACTTCACTAAGATTTTATTAAAGTTTTAAGCATTTCACAGTTCTTCATAAAAACTAACATTCTGGTTACATAGAAAGTTTTTTCCACCCTCTGCGAATGAAAGCATTAAATCAATACCGTTCATTGATGTACAAAAGTTGGCATCTTTAAGTGCATCTTTAAGTTCATTCTCATTGCTTAAATATAGAAACACTATGAAATATAATTAAAATCATTTATAAGTTTATTTCATTTTTTACACACTTTTATTTAACTCACACTGTATGTTGTATGCGTCAAATTTTGTAATTAATTTTTCAACCACTTCTACTTTTCCAATCATTCTGATACTTTCTAAACATGTTTAGTTCCAATGACAATACAACCCTTAATCAGTTTCAGAAGCTAAAAGGGTTCAAATAATATGCAATTAAGATAAACTTTTTGTACGTAAAAATTTATTTTAAGTAAATTGATAGTTTTTATATCATATAACATGATTTACGTTATATAAATATTTACGTTATATAAATATTTATAGTAAATTTATTTACGTTATATAAATATTTATAGTAAATTTATTTACGTTATATAAATATTTATAGTAAATTTTTTTATGTTATATAAATATTTAAAGTAAATTTATGTAATTAGAAACTTTCTTGTTTTGTTTATAATCATTTTCACTGCTTTTTTTATTGTGACTGAAGGGTTGAAGACAATGTAACATTAAAAATATTACAATAAACAAAACAGAGAAGAATCAAAAAACGAACCAGAGAATTGTGTAAAATTAGAATCAAATACTTATCATCATTTTACTGTTTGTTTATAACTTTTAGATAATAATTATCTTAAAATAATGATTAGGATAATCTTAAAATTGTTTTTAAATTAGTTTAAATTGGTTTTTATTTTTTGTTAACTCTGGTTTTATTTTGAGTTTTTTATCTTGCTTTGTTATTTTCCCTGGTTTCTTTTTGAGATAATTGCATTTATCCATCTTTCCTGAAAACAATGATGCAATCAATGTCAGGCTTGCTGTCCTTAAAGATTGATTTTTTTTTTTTTTTAAATCTTTGCTTCCAACAAGGCTGCAAGCAACCACTAATTAGTGTTGGAAGTTACTGGAAGAGAAAAGATGAAGATTGTAGAGCAAGATAACGATTGACAGACGACTTAAAAGATTGCAAATTATATGAATCAGGAAAGCAAGATGAAGGAAGCGAATTCCAAAGAACTGATGTTCGAGGAAAAAAACTAGACAAATAAGAGTTTTTGGAGCACTTAGGAACAGTAACAGAAAAAGGATGAGACTTAATTGAATGACAAGTAACACGAGAATGAATTTTAGGAGATGGTACAAGAGACACTAGCTCTTTAGAGCAGTGCCCATTATAGTATTTGTAGAAAAGAGAAAGAGAAGCAACATTACGACGATGTGACAGAGATTGAAGGTTGGCTGCAAGAGCAGGTCCAACTATGTTTACAATGCGTTTTTGCACCTAGTCTAAAAGAGAAAGGGCATCATTAGAAGATCCGCCCCAGATATGGCAACAGTATTCCATACAAGGCCGGATTTGAGATTTATAGAGATAAAGAATAGAATCCAGAGTAAGAAGGTGAAACTGAGCACTGACTAGGATTAGAAACAAGACATAAGTCTAGTAGAGAAGGTAAATGATTCGTGTGGTCTGGAAAGCGAGTTGGAAAGTTGACTATTTGAGTTAGGGATTGAGAAAGGCAAAAGTTGTGGGCCTTAATGCCTGCGGAGTCACTGACACTAGAGTCAAGCCATTCAGTGTGATGAACATTAAAGTCACTGACAACAACAATATTGGCTGATGGATAAAGAATGAGGGCTTGGTCTTTTGTTCATATACAACTTCACTAAGATTTTAACTAAGATAATCAGAAATAACATCAAGAAGAGTGCAGTCTTAAGATAAAGGAGAGTGATAAAGAACAAAGAGAAAGGTGATACCGTGAAGTGGTGCTAAACGAAAGCACATAAAAGCGGAGTCTGTGGATTCAAACCTAGTTTCCCGACAAATGGGTGAATTCTTACGAATGTAAATGCCTAGATTTAGCATGTGACTATTGGAGTCTTTACGAATTAAAGGAAGATAACCATCATCACTAAGATCACAAGATGAGACAGTTGAACTCAAATTAGTCTCACAAAGAGCTAGTAGGTCTGGTGAACTTTGCAAGAGATAAGACTCAACAGAAGAAAAGTTACTTCAAAGACCACGAATATTTGGTGAATGATAGGTTTAGCAAACTTGGTGATGACTGTGGTTTTTTGTGTTTTATAGTTTTTGTTACTTTATTCATTTTTAAATTTGTTAAAGAACTTGACTCAAAACATAGATAGTACTCAGTACACTGTTTTATAGCACAAGCAATCGCCTCATTTCCACTAATAAACCCTAAGCCGCAACAAAAGGCTCCAATGTGGCCTTGGCAATGCACACTAAAAGTACAAACAGGGACACCATCCATGCGCAACATGGCACTGTTAGTACTCTGATATTTTTCAGCTGTTGATGGAATCAGCCTCTCTGAGAGCTACCACAGAGTTCGGGAAACCTGACTACCAGCTGGCCTCAGAACCATAAAACTGAGGTTTAGAGCTGTACCTTCATTTGGAGATAATAGAATAAGTTGCCTAGTCATAAAAACAGAGACACAAGCAAAACCCATGCATCGAGTCAAGAAGATCCAGCGTTCAACATCCTAAACTGGAAACAATGTATTAAAAATACATCTGCACCAGCCTAATAGATCGAGAAGGGGTGCGAGGCTGGTCAACAGATAGAATTTGTTTACCCCTTAAGTCTTTGCATAGGAGGCCTTCTACAAGACAGCAGCCGGATGCATTTAACATCTGTCCAAGATGAGTATTTTTATCGAGACACCGTCTCTAGCCTTTACTCAACCAAGAGCCCCAAGGCAGGGGGTGTTTTATGTCGGAGTTTGCATCTCCTAGCCTAGCCTAAAAAGGCATATCCTACAAGGCAACAGGACATGAAGCAGATTGTGCTGGGTTACATGTTACCAGTAGCAGGATAAACCTGACCTGACTGAAAGTTTTGGCACTATATCTATCTATATTTATTTATATCTTTCACAATGCTCACAAAATTGCAACAATCAACCCAAAAGCCTGATCTCCAAATTTTTCAATGTCTGGTCAATCAAATTTGCTTTTCTTGTCTAAATCATTGATCCAACTCGTTTACATTATCTCTCTTAACTGAAATGGTCCCTCCTTTATAAGATGAATACAAGAAAAAAAATATGCATGTTTTGAAGGGCATGCATACTTCTACATAGAAAAAAAAAAAATTGCGGTTACCCTCTCCCAACTCTTCAACTCCGAAACATGAACCTTAGACAAGGCATCTGTACAGTGAAATAAGTTGAGCATGGAACTACTGGGGGACATAGCAGGGATCAAACTCAAAACTTCATACAAATAAAGTGAGTGCTTAACTTCTAAAGCATTACCAACAACATTTATACAAACATATATATATATATATATATATATATATATATATATATATATATATATTTATATATATATATATATATATATATATATATATATATATATATATATATATATATATATATATATATATATATATATATATATATATATATATATATATATATATATATATATATATATATATATATATACACACACACTTCTACATTTGAAGTATGCAAAAAATATGCATGTTTCATGTGATTTAAGTGCCTTGGAAATAAAAAAATTAAAATAAGATTTGATTTGGATTCAAGAATTTTGATATCAATTTAGTAAACTATAAAAAAATAAAATTTTACCTTTGAGCATCTTCAATTTACAATTTTAAAGAAAAATTACTTTAAAAATTACTGCTAGAAATTACTTTTCATTGAAATAGTTTTTTGAGTTATTAAGCATTATATTATCAGAGTTAAGCACTTGAACTTCTAAACACTTAAACAATTATACTCCTTATTATTGTTTATAAAATTTAATTTATATTAGAGGCAGAGGCAGCTTGCCATTAGGAGCTGTAGGGACCTGACCCCACCAACATTTGTTCAAATTATTTGTTTATCTTAAATCATTAGTTTAAACTATCACTAGGTCAACATTTTCTAACCCTATTTAATGTGTACAGTATAATAATGAATGATGAGCCACTTATATTTTTTTCAGTAAAGAAGACATACAGCTCTGAGCTAGTAGCAATTAAGAATAATAGTTATTGTGTAATAGGAATATGGCATATTATGTTTGGCATGTATTTTTTTAACCACTATTATAA